TTACAAATTGCACAAATTTTTGTAATTATGTAAAATGTAAAAACATAAATATAACATACATTTTACATTGTTATAAAATCTTTCTATATATACTGACCAATGAAGTAATGGAAATTCCCCAACTTGTGTTTGTTGTTTTTGTTACTTTTTTAAGGCTGTTAAATGTATATTTAGAGTGTGTGTGGGTGTGATAATGTACAACCTTTTTTGCCTTCTGATCTTAAGCACTGTCAACACTTATATAAACCAATGGAACACAGAGTTGGAGAGAATAACCATGGTGTGTATTATGTAGGATGGAGGCAGCATTTGTGATGAATTATATATGATGTAACATTTTAAATCTGACCTTTAAACAACAGAAAGCAATGAAAATATTTAAGGAGAGAAATTCAGCTGAGAAACGTCCCACAGGTGGCCTGCGGTTTTGTTGAGCTATTTATGTCATGTGCACAGGGATAATAAAGTGGTTTCCTCTGGAGGCACAAAACAGATTTTGGTGAATTCTCTACACAAGGTAAGATAACTAATTGATGATAAGATAAACGTATTTCCAGTTTAATTGCACACGCACCTGTGCAGTCACCTGTCCTCACATGTGCTCTTATCAGAGAGGGATGACAGGCGCAGATGAGCTTTGATGTGTTATCAGTTTTGGCTGCTGATGTCTTTTCACGCTTATGAAACTGAATCCTTTAGTTTTGATCAGATGTTTTACATGCTTTATTTAGTGCATTCCTACCACATACTGTAATTGGTATACTTTTTAACCTGTGTACTACTGTGTGTTAGACAATTTATGTCCTTTATATTTAAATGTGGCTTCAAAAATAGTGGAAAACACATTGTGGTGTTTTGCCATCTGCTTGTGTTGAGTTCTATTCATGTACAGATAAATATATAAATAAAACATTGCATATAGACTGATGTATGTCTTCTATAGCTTCAGCTTGTACTATATGGGGTCAAAAGTCGGTTTCTAGTATTATTTGTTTTAAAGCAGCGCATCTTCTCATGGGATAAAACAGCCTTGCCTCCTACAAGAAAGTTGCATAATTGCATAATCATTATCTGGTGAACATTGTTAAAGTGCTACAGTAAAAATAGACACAGGTCTGTTCAGTACAAGCCGTCACTCATGTGATGTTGTGTAATATGATCCCTGTTCTCAGGAGTGGTAGATTAAGTCTTCTAACCTTTGGTCAGAGCGAAGACGATGACAGACTTCCTTCACTGATCCAACGATAAATGTTGTTGGTGAATATCTGAGACAATAAATGACCCTTTAGTAGCCTGTAGGAGGAAAAGTGAATAACGACTCTTGTCTCTATCCAATTATAAATGTCCAGTTTAATTGGTTTAGCTACCGTGAGAAGATAAAATAAGGTTTACTCCGAGTTCAAAGCCAAGTCACAACAACCTCACATTTGGGAAACATAATCATTTCATGCACTTGTTCCTGTTTAAGCCGCATTTTCTCCTTTTTTAAAATTTTTTTTTTACAGATGGACAATCAAAGATGTTCAGAGTGTGAGAATTTCAATCCCAATCCCGTTTATGGTTTGAATGAAGCACAGCTAGATATCCTGGGACAGCGCAGGTGGAAGGCGTATCGGACAATTTGGGCAAAGCTGAAGGAGGAGCGCTGGTGAGTGTGGGAGCTTATTTAAGAAGCATAATTGTGATCGTAAAATAAACACTGTCCATGCTAAATATACATGCCGACCCCCATATTTCTCTGTTGTTGTGCTTCAGGTGTTCAGGTCCAAGACTGAAGAGCTGCTTCCTGTCTATTGCACCTCTCTTGTCATGGCTGCCACAGTACTCGCTCAGGAAAAACGCTATTGGAGATTTGATATCAGGAATCAGTGTGGGAATCATGCATCTGCCACAAGGTTTAAGACTTGCACACCCTCTTTTGTTTTATTTGAGCTACAAACTGTTATATGACAACTGTATTCTAAAATATAAAAATGTATGTTGATGCAGGTGTCAACATCGATCGAAATAGATTTTTAGGGTTCTCTGAGAGTGTAGACACTTGAAGTGTCTGTGATGTGAGGGGTCGGTTATGATTTTCATTATCCTGTTTCTCATCTTAGACACCTGCAGATCTGTATTATCAGCTGGCAGCTGATAATTTCCTTCACAATGCACTGTGATTCAAACCAGACAGATAAAGTGGATGTAATAACTAATTCTATTGTACAGAACTGCTCACACTCTTCTGCACACAAATTACTCATTTTCTGACTTTTTGCTTCCCATAGGGATGGCTAATGCTTTGTTGGCTGCAGTTCCTCCAGTGTTTGGTCTGTATTCTTCTTTCTACCCTGTTCTCATCTACTTCATGTTTGGAACATCCAGACATATCTCTGTGGGTAGGTACACAAACAAACTCTCTCAGCAGGTATATATACATTCTGTACACACATACACGATTCCACTTTGCAAGAAAAATATTAATATATGGGTTTTTGTAAATAATGAAAAAAAAATTCAGATGAACTGTTGTTTGAGTGAAAATAAAATAAAATATATAATAACAATAAATAAAAAGTAATTAAATATAAAATAATAAAAAAGATTAAATAAAATAACGAAATAACCGAGTCTACAATATATACAATAAAAATATATGAAATAACAAACTGTAAACATATTAAAATAAAATGTAAAACAAGTAAAAATGTAATAATAAATAATTAAAATATAAATAAAATGAAGTATAAAATATATTTAACAATATATATGTATGTGTATAGAAAACAAAATATATAATTTATTTAATGCTTCATTTTGTTTTATATAATAAAATATAAAACAAAATGAAGTCTAAAATACATAATATATACAATTATACAGTAAATCTAAAATAAAATAAAGTATAAAATATATAATCAAATGAAATACATATAAAATTAAATAAATCATTAAAATGAAATAAATTATAAAATAAACTGAAGTATATAATAAATTATAAATTTAAATATACAATTACATAAAATAAATCTAAGATAAAATAAAGTATAAAATATATAATAAATAATAAATATATAATAAAATGAAATATATATAAAATAATAAATGAAAGAAATCTTTAAAATAAAATGAAGTATAAAATATATAATAAAATAAAATATACAATAAAAAGATATAATACAAAAAACTTAAAAATCTGAGAAACAAAAGTATTAAACATTATTTAATATATGATAATGGCTTTGTCCTTATTTGATTTGACGTTCAGTTCAATCTGATTGGCTGATGATCTTTCTGACCCACAGGTACTTTTTCTGTCCTTTCCATCATGGTCGGTACGGTGGCTGGTGATGTTGTGTTGGCAGGCGGCGGAGCAGAGAGTGATGAGATTGAGGCTGAAAGTGCTAGAGTTGCCTTTGCAGCTCAGTTGACCATTCTGTGTGGACTGATACAGGTAAAACACACAGAAGCTGTATTAATCCTGTATTGGTGTGTGTGTGTGTTTGTGTATAAATCTCTCTCCCTATAGATTGTGCTGTATGTGCTGCGTTGTGGAGGGGTGTGTCGGTGGTTGTCTCAGCCGTTGGTCAGTGGTTACACTACGGCAACTGCTGTCCATGTGACTGTTCACCAGCTGCCTTTACTGATGGGCATCTCCATAGTCAGACACAGAGGCGTCTTTGCTGTGTTCTGGGTGAGAATGAGCACTGCGTGTTTTATCTCTGTGTTCATCTCAGATGTTAAATGTACATATCTGTGTCCACCAGATGTTTTCAAACATTGTGACTGGAATCAGCAGAGTGTTACTGGCGACACTGGTAGTGTCCCTTGTCTCCCTGGTGATACTTGTTGGTGGAAAGATGGTGAATTCACGGTGGAGCTCTCGATTTCCCATTCCATGGGAGTTGGTACTGGTGCGCAAAGGGTTTTTATTTTTTTATTTAGCTTTTATTTATGTGTTTAAATTTCGCAGTCTAGTGTGTAAATGCATTACATTTAATACAGGCAGGTCAAAAACTACCATTTGTGGTATTTATTGTTTTATTTGTGTATGTTTTTATTTAATTTCTTTAAGCAATTTTAATTTTAATTTTGTAGTTTAAAAATGTAATTTAGTTTAGTTTTGCCTGTTGCGTTAGCAGTATTTTAAAGATATTTCTGTGCAACAGTAATAAATTCTTCATGTTCGTAGATTATCTTTGCCACTGTGTCGTCAGTGCAGTTTGATCTGTCCGGTCAGTATGGAATACAGATTGTTGGACCCATACAATTCGGGTCAGCAGAGTGTTGGTTTTTCTATACTAAACCAATTAGCAGGAAGTATTTAGGTGCTAAAACTAATTCTTTCTTTGTTTACCTCTAAGTCTCTCACCTCCCTCCCTTCCATCGTTTTCTGTCTCTCAGGAGCTGTTATTGACAGCTCTTGCGTTGGCAGTGGTGGGCTATGGTTTCCAAGCTTCACTGGGCATGATGTTTGCTCATAAACATGGGTACCCCTTTCACAGCAACCAGGTAACAAGCAATTTCTGTAACTTTTAACAATATGTTCTCAATAAATACCCATTTTGCAGCATTCCCTTCATCTGATCTGGTGCTGTCAAACGATTAATTGCGATTAATCGCATCTAAAATAAAAGTTTTTGTTTACATTATATATGTGTGTGTACTGTGTGTATTTATTATGTATATATAAATACACACATGCAGTATATATTTTGAAAATATTAACATGTGTATACATTTATATATTTATATTCTTATATTTTATATTATATATAAATATATTTAATATATAAACAACATATTTTTCTTAAATGCATATTTGCATGTGTTTGTATTTATATATACATACTAAATACAGTACACACACATATATTATGTAAACAAAAACTTCTATTTTGGATGCGATTATCCATTTGACAGCACTAATCTGAACATAAATGGGCTCTCTTCCCTGTAGGAGCTGTTGGCTATGGGTTTGTGTAACTCCATAGGCGGGATGTTCCAGTGCTTTCCAGTAAGCGGATCCATGTCTCGCAGCGCAGTACAGGAGAGTACAGGCGGACAAACTCAGGTGTGAACACCTGCTAATTTTTGTTAGTAAAACAACCTCATGTTACAGGTACATGCACAACATGTGGTACATGCATAACAGTTCAATCCCTGTTTACATGTGGGAGGATTACAGTGAATGTTTTCTCAGAAAATAGTTACACTGTTATTCAGGCAGTGGCCACAAGAAGAAAAGACATTTAACTAAAATATTTTCATGTACAATACATTTACATGTATATACTGAAATTCAAAGCAGCCTATGATATATATATATATATATATATATATATATAAAACTATTTGTATTAATTATTTCAAATAAAACAGCTAAGTTATGGTTGAAACTGAATTGTGCTGTAAGAACATGCCACACGTGACTATTATTAAGGCACAGGTCATTAATATCTTTGTCGTTCTTATCAAAAAAGTGATAAAGCAAGCTGATAAAATGTAAACCACATGCACAAAAGAAAGTTATTTTTCAAAATAATGTATGTTTCGGTGTGGAAGCACTGCAGTTTTTACTCTATGAACATGACCTCTCTCTTTCTCCCAGGTTTCTTCTCTGGTGTCTGCACTGATAATTCTTTTGATCTTGTTAAAGTTTGGCCCCCTTTTTCAGCAGTTACCAAAGGTCCCTATACCATCTTCAATAACAAAGTATATTTTATATGGATATAGCATAATAAGGTGGTTTTATAAAGTGCATTTGTGTGTTTCAGACAGTTTTGGCTGTCATTATTTTAGTGAATCTGCAAGGGGTTTTTGCACAAGTCAAAGATGTGCCTAAACTTTGGAATACTGACCGCTTGGACCTGGTAAGGGGCAATTTCATCCTTACACAACTGACCCAAAATCCAATTCCATGTAGGCCTCTCATCCAGGGTGTTTCCTGTGTGTGTTTCCCACTGAGACTGCAGGTAGTGTGGGTAGTGACGCTGTTCAGTGCTTTGGTGTTTAATCTGGACCTGGGGCTTGGCATTGCAATTGTTTTCTCTCTGTTTACCATCGTCTTCAGGACACAGCAGTGAGTCATCTGCATTGTCTAATATTTATCTACAGCGTCTCTCTCTCTATTTCTCTTTCGATTTTTCAACTTTCTCATACTAACTCTTATTCTTCCTCTTTCTACATTTCTCAGGCCCAGATCTGCTGTTCTTGGGCATATTGCTGGCACAGACTGTTACAGGGATCTGGAGAAATACTCAAAGGTAAGATTTACACACAATGCAGCTAGAAACCAGCCTAAGCTATGTTCTGAAATGTGGTTAATCATCTTAAGCAGTAGCTTAACCAAAGTCTCTTATGTTCACCAAGGCTGCATTTATTTGATCAAAAATACAGCTATAGTGAAATATGATAATTTAAAATAACTGTTTTCTATTTTAGTATATTTTGAAATGTAATTTATTCATGTGATGGCAAAGCTTAATTAATATATTAACATATATGTAATTATTATATATTTTATAGATAATTGTATTATTTATTAATATTACATCGATAGTAGATGTGTTCCTAGTACATATATAATATAAATATAAATCCCTGAATTTGCTGGTTCAGGCACACCAGATCCCTGGAGTGACTGTGTTTTCCTGTTGTAATCCACTTTACTATGCCAATGCAGACCAGACCTTCACATCACTCAAACAGGTACAACCTATATTACAGCTTCCTGCTTTCCATTCATTGAGTAAAATTTAATTATTATTTTTGTATATGCAGACAATTAGTAATGACATTAATGAGAATCCTGAAGTACAACCTCCAGACCAGCAGGGGGCTCAGTGTGCACAGCACTGCGTTATTCTGGAGCTCAGTGGAGTCACCTTCATGGACTCAGTGGCCATAGGCTCATTCAAATCAGTTAGTGGCACAGAGCACACGTAACACATGTACCCACACGTAGAGGTGTTGATATTTTACCAGGGATGAACAGAAATAGATGACCTGTTACTGGCTCTCATTAACTCCTAACCAATAAATCTCAGTTTAAATTCTGCTTGTCACCGTGATCATGTTTAAATGCAAACTTGCGTGTCTTGCCAATCTCTCTGTGTCACAGGTGCTTCAGGATTTTGAGAACACGCAGACCTTGTTTTTCTGTGCTTCATGTCCAGGTTACGCATCTCACACGTACAGCCACAGTCTCAAATATAGTGTCATGATCTGGGGCATTTTATATTAATATGTAACGTGACATTTAAAGAGATAGTTCATCCTCAAGAACTGGTATTAATTTACTTACTGTATTTTTTTGTGTTTGTCTCTAGATGGTTTACTATCTCAGATGAAGAATCATGGTTTTGTTCCAGATTTTCTGTCTCTTTCTTCATTTTTTCCTTCAGTTCATCATGCAATCCTGCACTACCAGGGGCTACAGGTGTGTGTGTGTGTGTGTGTGTGCTATTTTTGCTTTGTGTTTGTGTGGTGAGTTCACTGCAATTCAATAGCCTTTTCTGTTCTGATTCAATTATGCATCTATTTACAGAACACAGGCACAGATGTTACAGAGCTGTGACCTTTAATGACCTCCCTGCCTGACCGATGAACCTGCAAACCTCAAAAAATCCCTCACTACTGAGCTTTAGAAGTGACACTTCTAGAAAGATTGGAAAAGGAATACAAGAACTTCCAATTTTGATTTAATGATTTGGAGCAACTGTGTGCATTTATCTGGATTTAAAGGGGTCATATGATGCTTTTTTAAAGATCATTATTTTGTGTATTTGGTGTAACAGAATTGCGGCAACCATAGACTGTGGCGGCAACAGATGCTTGTCTATCGGCTATTGCAGTGCTTCTCCGGACTCTGGTCCGGATCCGGACCCGGAGGGAATTCAGTCCGGGCCCGCCTCCATTTCGTATTTCAACAACACTAATTATTTCCTACTTTGATAAACGCATGTTAAAACGTGTAAATCATATGTTTAGTTTTTTCATGTCTTTTTGGAGATGGTCCGAAATGAAAGCGAAGGCTAAATATTGAAACTTTTCCTTCATGACATTTGTTGTCATGACATCCAGTGAGCGTATGACTTTTGACATAATCGGACGACATTTCACCGCTAATATGAGTAATTTTTTATTTATTTATTTTTGTTTGTTATCACTTAGATTATGGCCATTTGACTTATAGCAGTGTCCAGTGTTTCCCATACATTGAGTTATTTGTGGCGGCCCGTCACAAAATCAAAACTGACCGCCACAAATAGATTTAACAAAAGGATTCTACTTTGTTGAATAAACTGAGCACTGCACGTTTCAAAATTAAAACGCAGCGCGGGTGTTTTTATATGAATGTATAACTGAAAAGAACCGACCGTCTTCAGAAAAGCTTTGATGTCATTTTCATTTCGTCTTTCCTAGCGTTTTGTATTTGATTACAGCCGTTACCGGGGAAACCGCTATATCTCCGCTCCAACAGCGCCTCCTGTTGGCAGAGAATCAATTTGCATTTGCAAGTCTGTGGGAAACACTGGTGTCTGTCAGCAAACATAAACAAAAAGCATGCTTCAGAACTGTTTTGAGAAGGTGCTTAAGTTTTGAGCCATGTATTATTACTATGAATTAGGCTACTACTACTACTATTACCATCTTACCAACTCGCTTTTATGAGATAAAGGGGGAAAAAAAATAAATCGGCCAAACATATCGGCCAAAAAAATCAGCATCATATAACGGCCATCGGCTGCCCTGATTATCGGCAATCGCCTGAGAAAAACCCTTATCGGTCGACCTCTATTGCTGACACTTAAATTAATTGTTTTGCCATTTTATTGGCGCTTTATTTTTTCCAAAAAATTTATGTTTATTTGTTATGCATGTTATGTATGTTTATTAAAAACAAGTTTTGTAATAACCAATTGTTCCGGTCCGGACCTTTGACACTGATGAAAATTCAGATTTGGACCTTTGAATGTAGACTTTGAGAACCCCTGGCTATTGAATGTAAAAATAAAAACTGACACCGTGGTCAGAATTTTCTATTGGCAATGACTTGTGTCAGCTTTTACCTCTGTATTTTGCTTTTTTATTTACTTGCTTTTTTATTTGTTCTGCATTTAAATCAAAATTTTCATCGTTATTCTACTTTTAGATTAGATGGATGTTTGAAATAGTTTTTAAAAAATGCTCAAATATAAAGTGTCTTCAAAACATTGTAATGCAGGTCTGTGCATATGAAATCTCCTAGATTCTTAATATATTTCATGTTACAGACCAATTTGGTTTGGTGATATTGTAAAATAAAATATGTAGTAAAATAAATAAGACTCTAAAATAAAATATGTACAAATAACAACATAGAAACATGTATGGAAAATACTTATTAACACTCTGGTCAACACAAACAACAGAATTTAACAGAATCACAATTATATCTGCACCAACTCAGTATTGCTGAAATGTTCTTGTACCACCAGTGAATTGAACCATAAATGTTATTAGAAGAGACTTTGTTCTCTGGGCAGGTGTTGGGGAGAGGCCAAATTAATATTTAATAAGCTCTTTTCTCTCACACGTTTACTGAAGACATACTATAAGCCTCTATTTTATAAAGCTGATCATAATGACAGACTGACCCTAAGTCTAAACAGAAGCATTTTTGGTATTTTTCGGTTAAAGAAAATGGTACTCCAATTGAGGACATCCCAAATTTCACCAAAGGAATGTTTTGTCAGTATTACCTAATACTATGTTAAAAATACAAACAGCCATAATTACATGACATAATTGCAACTTCATATACAAGTCTCTGTATTCTCAGATGAAGATGTATCTCTTTCACTGGATCAAAACAGACACCTTATAGCAGAGATGTGATTTCAAATATCTACTGTTCACAATTCACTCATACAAAAGCACATGGTTTTGCAGAATGAACATGTTTTCTATCTAATCAGGCTGAGATAAGGTGGTGTAGGTCTCTAGTGTGAAAGTTTCCAACAGTAACTCTGTAGAACCCCCCCCCCTTTTTGGGACTTTGCTCCTCATATGGATACATTAGAATTGTGAGTGTGTGAATGGATCAGACGGGTTTCAGAAAGGTCAGGATACACATTAACACAAACTGTGATAGAAGAGCAGGGTCAGGGACGTTAATCAATCCATTGCTGTCCAGAGCTTCACTGCACGAGCAGCAGACCTATGGAGCTCTCACTTCAAATCACTGGAGAACACCCTTCAGAAATGTTCTGGGTCTGTTTGCATGGACATTAAAGATTGAATTTTCGCTGTGAGGACATACATTTTGGGATCTATGCACTGGATGTGATCTGAACAGTGAATGTGAGAAGAAAAATTTTCAGGATCACATTTAAGATAGAGAGGATTCAAAATGGAAGAAGGGATGAAAGACAAAGATCTCAGGAAAAGGGTACCATATCACATTCAGAGAGATGTACTGGATGAGCTTGGTGTTGACCAAGTCGCTGAGAAATCGGATTTCAAAATTTCAGCAAATGAAAAACTCAGAGATGCTGTCAGGTGTGTGGCCTTTATTTAATTTGAATATTTCACTGTGTGAGAACTTTTTATTTTTTTATTTTTTTTACAATTTGTATGTGCATCGTAGTTTAAGAGAAGAGTTAATAAAAGAAATCAGTATTTTGTTTGCCCTCATTTTGCTTTAATTGAAGCAGTACTGTTGCTATAGCTAAAAAAAATGAAGGAATTACTAAAACAAATTTCATTTGTTTTTTGCTTGTAAATTTTACTAATTATTACAAAGAAATGGCAAATAACACTAAATTAAATGTGAAATTATAGTAGAAAAACAAACAGAATTTTCTTGTAAAACATACTCCAATTATCTTGAACTTAAAAACATGAACTCCACAATTTTAAGTCAAATCTAATGATCATGTTGTCCAGCATGAATCTAGAAAGATCCAAATAACATCTTGTGCTTTAATGGATTCAACAACATCTCAGAGAAGTCTCAGGCTTAAAAAAATTTTTTAGCATTAATTATTAAGGCAGTTATCTTGTTCTTCACTGTGTTTCATAATTTTCTCTTTTTCTTTGTTCATCAGGTGTACAGGCCCAAGGTTTAAGAGCTGTTTCCTATCATTTGTTCCTCTCCTGGCTTGGCTGCCACGATACCCATTTCGAGAAAACGCTATTGGAGATCTAATATCAGGAATCAGTGTGGGAATCATGCACCTGCCGCAAGGTCAAACACAAGCACATGCACACCTGTATTACCAAAGCACATTTTTTGCTTAAGACTAAACATAAACACAAACAAACACACACATGTAACATGCAGTGTGTTTTGTGTGTCTAGGTATGGCATATGCTTTGCTAGCTGCGGTCCCTCCTGTGTTTGGTCTGTATTCCTCCTTCTACCCCATTCTCATCTACTTCATATTTGGAACATCTAAACACATATCTGTGGGTAAGTACACACACCTCCCTTTGATTTCTGTTTTTCCTAAAGGCGTAGTTCACTGCATAATGAAAATTCTGTCATCATTTACTCACCTTCATTTCATTCTGAACCTATATGCTGTTTCAATGGAACACAAAAAAATCTATTCACATCAAACTTTTCTATACAACAGCCGTTCATGCTCAAAAAGTGCTCATGTTCAAAAGCACCATCAAAATAGTCTCATGACTCTTGAGCTATATAAGAAAGAAATGCATACAGATTTGGAATGACATGTGGATGAGTAAATGATGACAGATCAGTGGACTTTCCATATGAATCAAATATGGCACTTATGATACAAGTTTAATGACATTTCAATGCTTCAACCCAGTGCTTTAGGAGCCATATTTGATTTGAGAGCTGTTGAGTGAACATTATGGGCAAATAATGACATACATTTCAGTCTTTTTGCAAATGAAGCTGTTTTATGACTTGAAATATAGATCAGTATAGTTGTGTAATGTATACTGTTATGATGCTTGTATAAAGCTGTGTTGAGTGATTGACAACCTTGTTTGGAGAGTTTGATGAGTGAGAAAATAATGATAGATTTTTCATTTTTGAGTAAACTATCAAATTAAATCCACCTAGACATTTGGCCCCTACAAACATACTGTAGCAAAAATAGTCCTATTTTCTAATCTCTCTGTCTACAGGTACATATGCAGTTATGAGCGTTATGATTGGCAGCGTGACAGAGCGCTTGGCTCCAGACTCAGACTTCGTGATACCAGGCAATGATACCAACAGCACCACCTTAGACGTTTTCAGCCGTGATGCAGAGAGGGTCAAGATCGCAGCCACTGTGACTTTCTTATCTGGCATTTTCCAGGTAGTCTCATTTGTAAGTGTAGGCTATGTAGTTTTGAAGTTGTGTATGTGACTAAGTGTTTGTGTGGTGTCTGTGTGTGTAGTTGCTCCTCGGCTTGGTTCGGTTTGGTTTTGTGGTAACGTATCTCTCAGAGCCATTGGTGAGAGCTTATACAACAGCGGCCGCCATTCACGTTATCGTCTCCCAGCTCAAATATTCCTTTGGCATCAATCCACAGCGGTATAGTGGACCTTTGTCTCTTATATATGTGAGTATGAACACACACACAGTCCCAAACACTTAATTAAGGACTCTCCATAACTGGTATGCAAAAGACAAATAAACACATCTATGTGTAATTTGTGTTTAGTGGCCCCTAGCGGTTGGGGTTATGATTTGCACTCAGCAAGCTACATATGTTTTAATGCTGTTTTCTCTATTTATTTATTTATTTTTCTTTCTCTCTCCAGACAGTCATAGAGGTTTGTGCATTGCTTGGACAGACTAATATTGGTACTCTGGTAGTTAGCATTGTAACCATCATAGGTCTGGTTGCTGCAAAGGAACTTAGTGCCTTGGCGGCGCGCAAAATCCCTATTCCGATTCCTGTTGAGCTGA